TTTTAATTGGCACATGACTCTTTCTCTATTAATTTGTGCAACAACCTAGTTCAAATCTAAGGTGGTAAAATGAAAGATTTTACTTAGTAAGCTTTAGGCAGAAATTTTGTGATGTTTGTGATTAACTAAATATACAGATCAGATAAAAATAAGAAATATTGATGCCAAAAACCAAGAGTTACTGACTTTATGGTGATTTGGTTTTCAGCCCTAGAGGCACACAGCCTGGGGATGGATGCCATCTCTGCTACACAGCTGGGCAACTGAGGCAGCCTACTCAGGCTCTCCAGTACTACTGCATTCCTCATTGCCTGGGGGCGGGTGGGTCAGGTGGTAACAGTCCATACCATAGTCTTTGTAAAGCCCAGAGCCTGATATTTGGTCAGTGCTCAGTAAATGTTAGCATTTGTTGCTAGTTAAGTGTTTTTTTTCAACTGGAGATGGCTTTGGTGAGACTAACTCCCTTTCTGAACTAAGTGTTTCTTGTGGCTGCAACATCTGTCTGCCTCTAGAGTGGCTGGTGAACATGAAAATTCTAATTAGTCTCCTTATAGTATAGTCTTAACCCAGACTGGGACTTTTTATCTTGGATCACTTGAGTTAACCAGTATAGTAGTTGAGCAGTTAAAGAGCTTGACATTAAATTTTTAAGACATTTAAAAATGTGTTGTATAGCTGGTATAAACCAAATTAAAAATTAAGAATCATGGGGTAGTTTTGTAGTGATGAGTTTTATAAACATCTAAGGGAAAGCAAATCCTTGTGGGAGGGCTCCGCCCACAGGGCCCCACCCCCGGCCGCCAGGGATGAGAATAAGTCTACCCAGACTTGATCTGCTCGGGAGGAAAGGTGGCCCATCTCTCAAAGGAGAAAGGCCAAGAGCCTTTTCCTCAATGGGCTTTTATTGGGTTTGTTTTGCACAGGAATACAGGTAAAGCTCATTAATCATTATCAGGCATTAAGGATCAAACAATAGATAACATGCAAAGAACTCTGAGGGCCTATTTTGAGTCAGGGTCTGTTAGCTAAAGGGCTACAAAACTTTGAGGAACAAACTAACTTCTTGCTTGGACCCTTATCATTTAATCGAGAGCATTCTAAACAAAGCAGGTTTCACAGGATTTTACATATTCTTTCTTAGGCCTGATTGCCCTAGGGAACCTGCCCTTTCCAGATCATGGAGGCACCCACCTCCAGCATTGTTTCAGGCTTAAGGCATTGTTTCAGGCTTAAGTCAGGCAGGGGAAGTAAGGCAGCCAAGAGATTAGGAGACTTCTCCCAGACAGAATGAGGACTCAGGCTCTGTTAAAGCTGAGGGTTGAGGGTCCATCACCCGCTTTTACTATAGCCCCCCAAGTCTTTCCCTGGGGCCTCTCCATGATCGTGCCTGTCTTAGGCCATTCCCCCTTGGGGAATCTTACCCATCATTGGCTAACCGATCAAGCATTGGGGGCCAGGCAGGGTAAAGAAAAAGGAGCAGAAGTGGTGCCCCTGCTGGGGAGATAAGTTTTGTCTCCTTAGTGGCTTATGGTCTGAAGGCCACTCAGTCTTAGCCATGGGGGCATTACAGCTTCTGAAACTAGGCAGGGCAGTTCCCAGCAAATCCTCACTGAACTTGTGGCTTGGATTTTCTCAGGTTTTAATTTTAAAAGCTTGTGGGAGGTAAATGTATTTACTCCAGGTTTTTACTTATTTTTTTAAGGAATAAAGAAGTTACTTAAAAGAGCTATTTTGTGCTAAATATCCAGTTTAAAAGGAATTCTAGCTCTACAAGTAGACATATTTAAGGCTCCCCAATTAAGGGGTAAAGCTTTTTAAACAAATTATTGCGGAGCAATAGAAGTAAAATTAGAAGAAAATGGATCATATAGGCATGTATTGGTTAAGCAAATGGGCTCTTGATTAAAATCCTGGCTTTCACCACCTTATTGACTTCAGGATTTTTGGCAAACTGATGAAATTCTCTACTTACTCTCCCCATCTGTAAGAGGCCTAATAATGTCACCTAAATAATAGGGTTATAGTGAGGATTAAATAATTAAATTGTGTTGAATTAAATATATGTGGAAGCATTTAGGGTGGTGTCTGGTACATATACCCCGTGTTGATGACTATAATGACTGGTGGTACCCACCACTGAGTCATCTGAACAAAAGTGAAAACTAGAGTAAAAATGTATTTCAGCATCTCTATTTTTTTCTTTCTAAAACTATTTGAAAAAAATTAAAAACAATTTTTTGGCCTTAGCCCCTGAAAAATATATTTTTTAATTTCTTTCATGTAACACTTGATGTAATAAGGTACATTCCTATGCCTTGTGGGATAGCTTATCTGTCATGTTTACTTGGTGGTCAGATTTAATAAAGATGCTTAGGATGTTTTGGAGAGATGGTACTTCTAGATAATGTTCTTTTCCTTCGTGAAGTTGAAAAATTTTTAAAACTTGACATAAAATTTGTGATTTCATATCAGAAAACCTGGAGTCAAGTCTCTGTGCTGCCACTCATCAGAGTAGACAGGTTACCTGGCTTGGAGGAGCCTCTTCTTCATCTGCAGAAGTAAAATAGCATACTGTATCTCAAATGTTGGTGTGAAATATAAATTCATCTCCAGATGGGGCTCTCTTTGTCCTTCTAGAATAGTACTATTCAGTAGAAATAAAATGTGAGCCACTTGTGTAATTTAAAATGTTCTAGTAGCCACATTTTTAAGAGGAAAAAATAATTTTAATATTTTATTTAATCAAGTGTGTTTAAATATTATTTCAACATGTAATTATAAAAATTGATATTTTTTTCATGCTAAGCCTTTGAAATCTACTATGTTTTATACTTTTCATACATCTCAACTTGAACTGGCAATATTTCATGTGCTCAGTAGCCACATGTGGCTAGTGGCTATCGTATTGGACAGTCCAAATCTAAAGTATAGATTAATATTCCCTGTCAGCATCCATGAGCACTGGTGGAGTCTTGGTCTTAATCAATTAACACAGATTTATTCTTGAAACTGTGTGTACCTCTGGATGGATGAACTTTACACTTCTGTCTTCAGCAACCTAGATGAGTATTTTTGTCCTTGGGATGACAGGCTCCTAACCCTCAGCCTTTTGGCTGACTCAGACCAAGGCTTGCCCTAGGCAAATCACGTGTCTCTCCATTTGGCCAAGGCTATAGACAACCAGAAATTCCTCAATCTTTGAGTATGATAAAACTTTTGAACGACAAGGATCAGAGCTCCAGGAAGGGTTACCCCTTTATTTTTGTCTCTAATCTTTTTTCTTTTGCCTTCTTTCCCAAATTTCAGAGATTTACCCCACTGTGCTAGGGGAAAGAGCAAATACTAGCAGTCTTCTAAAGGAATTCAGCTTCTCTGTCTTCTACTTTGGTATGGCTTAACAAGGTGGCCCTCCCTTCCCAAACATTCTTTTGACTTTTTAAAAGACTTTTAGAACCTTTTTGGGACCAAGAGATTTAGAGGACATAGGATATATTCATGTCTCAGCTTTCTTCTTTTTAATGTTTTCTGCCTGATACTGCCTGATACAAATTTTGAGAGAATTGAAATGAAGGGTGTTACCCTAATATCTGTATGTAATGGTAAAAAAAGATAGAAAAAGTGGGATTCAGGTGTAGTTCCCCCAAAAAATATGCTTAGATGTCACCTTCTTAGAAAGTCCTACACTGATCACACTATCTAAAATAGCTGCCAGCCCCCAGTACTCTCCACCTTTTTTTTTTTTTCAGTCTCATTTATTACTAAAGTCCTTTATTTGCCTTCCTCAATAGAATATAAGCTCCATAAGGGAATGGACTTTGTTTTGTTTACTTCTGCATCCCAGCTCCTAGTACAATTTCTGGCCTTCAGTAAATTTCTATTGAATCAATGAAAGAAGATACCAAGGTATTATTCTCTATATGTATTAATGATTTTAAAACTCGGTACCTAGAATTCTTCCCTGACCACCATTGCTCTGACTAGTGTGTGTAACATGCTTGAATTTTTAAACCTAATCTCAGTGATAAGAATCCTTCAGTGTTTACTCTTACTCAATCATTTAGATAAACTTTTACTTCTTTTAGATAGTGTGGGATGTGAGGGAAAAATAAGTCATTTGCAGTGGTGTTATAAAATGGGGCTTAGCGGAGCCTATCTGTGTTGGAGGAGTGGGTATTGGGACAGGGAAGTGGATGAACGTTTTTATAGTTCAGTGCTGTAAATATGTCTAGGTTTGGGAGCAAGACAGTTGGCAAAGTAGGTAATAGGAGCTTAGGGAAAAGTGGGAGAGATTCATAGCAAGAAAGATTATTGTTATTTGGAGGAAATGTAGGCTGTATAGGCTTGGGGCAAAAAAAGTTCACAAATCATACTTCTGTTATCTTCGTTTAGAATCTTCATTTAAAATCTTAATTTTCACTGTCAATTTTGCAGTCATTTTTTCACTTTACCTCTTGTACCTTTGTACCAACTTGGTGCCACTGCCATACTTTGTGCTCCATGGAATCATGGACCTTTAAGCATAGACTCTTCATACTTCACAAAGGCCAGAGTTCCATTGTAACTCCTGCTTTGTTCCAGGAGCATCCTGCCAATAAAAAGTAATACATGTGTTGAAAGCTCTCATGTTTTTTTAATGAACTATTTATTTTGCATTAAAATAAATTTCTAGCAAAAAGAAATAAATGCAGACTTATCAGTAAAAGTAAAAACGTTTCGGTCCTAGTTCTTTAAGAGAAAATATTTTATTACATGAACTAGCTTTTTTATAATAGTATGAATGAATTTGGTTTGTTAATATAGTTAGAAAAACAATAAGATGCTATATGCTTTTTATATTGTGGTGGTAGGCTTTATTTCAGTTGGGTTTTTTTCAGTGTTACAATTTAAAGTTTGTTTAAAGATTAGTACTCTACCTACAATAGTTAATTTTTAAAGACTATTTCTAATTACATTCAAAATTCAAACGATGCATTTTAACCTAACACCTTCTTTCTTCTTAGTCTGTAAGACTTGTATCGTTCAGCACTTTGAAGATAGCAATGATTGTCCAAGGTGTGGCAACCAAGTTCATGAGACAAACCCATTAGAAATGTTGAGGTAAGTAAATGTATTTTATAGTGCATCTAAGTAAATAACATAAGCACTTAATAATTTTTATTATGCATCAGAATATTTGTTGGTACCTTAATTCAGTTAATATAGGTTTTATGAAATTTATGGTTTTCATTTTAAACATTTTATTTTATTTTAGAGTATTTTATTAAGCAGAATTAAAAAGTAAGGATATACATATTAAGTATTTAAGAAATACATTTCCAAGTTAAAAATTATAACTTTATCTCAGGCTCTCAGAGTTAATTTAGTTGTAGCTATTTTCAGTATTTTAATATTCTACACACCACACTTCTTCTAAAAGATTTTATTTATATATATATTTATTTGTTAGAGGGGAAGGGAGAGAGTAAAAAAGGGGGGGAAATACTGATCAGCTGCCTCTGGTGCTTCCCCAACTGGTGGCCTGGCCTGCAACCCAACCATGAGAAAGACTAATTTTGGTACTGTTAATTCTTTTAAATTTATTATATGTTCAAAAAGGAGTTCACAAACATTTATGTAAAACTTACAGAATTTTTTTAAATGGCTACCATTTATTTAAGTTTAGTCACATATTTTTAAAGATGGAAATGGTCCGTGAGATCCTAACCCAAACCCCTTTTTCCAGATAGAAAATTGAAATTTACCATGACTCTGCCTAAGGTCTCAGCAAACTCAAATGTTACTTCCCATCTTTAAGCAAGGTGTCCTCATCATAAACCTATTTTCTTCCCACTGTTCCTAGCATAGCTCTGTCACAGAGAAACTGTGTATCGTAGAGAAGTACACATCTAAAAACTGCACTAGATGTTCTCTAGATAGCCTTAAATAATTTTCATTTCTAGGTGATGTTTGCCATCATTCTATAAATCTGGATTTGCAAGTTTTACATTTCAGACTTTTTTTTTCTATTTTAGTGCCTGTAGTTGGATTAATTTATCTGCAGGTAAATGTCTAGCCCAGTGTTTTTCAGAGTGTGGTCCCCAAGCTATGAGTATCTTGTTAGATATGATTGTTCTCAGACCCCACCTCAGACTTGCTGAATCAGAAAGTCTGAAAGTGGAGCCTACTGTAGGTAGCAAGCCCCTCCAGATGATTCTGAAATATGTTAACATTGAAACCATTGGTCTACTGTATTCCGTAGTCCTAAGCAAGGCTTCTGTTGATTGGATTTATATCAGTGCTTCTCAATCAGGGGTGATTTTGCCCCTCCCCCAGTGTACATTTAGCAGTGTCTGGGAGCATTTTTGATTGTCAGGACTGGGTGGGTGCTGCTGGCATCTAGTAGGTAGAGGCTAGGGATGCCAGATGCTGCCGAGCATTCCACAATTCACAGGACAGCTCCCCCTTCCCCAAGATCCAGCCCAATATGTCAGTAGTGCTGAGGGCAAGAAACTGATTTACATAATTCAGGAGACCAAAACAAACTTTATCTGTCAAATAAAATTTTTTCCTGATGCTCTTACCAAAAACTGTAAACAAATAGCACTTTAAAATGGAGTAGGTAATAATTACTATGTTGTAACAAATTATCTTAACTTTTGATTTTGACTGTTAGATACCTAAAGGAATCTAGTCATAATTTAATTAAATCTAATTCCCTTGGCTAAAATGTAGCATCATATTTTTTTAAATTTTTTATTTGGAAATAATTAAAAACTACAAATATTTGCAAAAATAAAAGTAGTACAAGGAATACTTGTATTCTCTCTACCCAGATTAACATTTTATCTCATTTGCTTTATCATATGCTCACATTTTTGCTCTCTCTGTTTTTTTCTGAATCACCTGAGGGTAAATTACATGCAGCATTACCCTTACCTCTGAATACTTTAGTGCATATTTCCTAAGAATAGAGATGTTATCTTACATAACCACAATATGATTACATTGATATAATACTTTAATTGCCTTCCAAATTTCAGTTTTTGTTAGTTTATCTAATGATATCCTTTATGGAAAGAAGTTTTTTTCTTCTAAACCACTAAAATTGCTACAAAGGAATTTTTTTTCAAAAGGCAAACTCAGAGATAATAAGAACAAGAACATCAGCATTCCTGGCACCTAGGATAACTCCTGGAATGTAAGATTCTCAATAAATACTGATTGAAAGGATGAGAAACGACATAGCAAAAACAGGAACTGGGAAGCCAACTGATGGTGGTGATGGTTGAGCAGACCCAGGAGACCTGAATGTATGAGGAGGTGACAGGGGAGGATCTTGACCAGCCAAGATTAAAGATGGAGAAAGAGGGCTATGGGGTTTGAGGAGAGAAAAAAGTGTGTTGTGTTGTCCAGGAAAGTGAGAGAGGAAATGGGCTGGGGAAATGTAGTGTGATTCCTGGCACCCTTCAAGGCACATTTGGGTTGTAGTTATGAATTGGAAGGGCTGTGGGTATGGATTTTTTTTCCCCAATCATGGGTGCAAAGTGCAGCAATAATGGAGAGTTGGATTTAAGTAGAGTTGTGGTTGTACCAAAGAGTTTTGAGCAAGTGCGTAGAGGATAAAGGAATCGAAGTATGTACATGGGTGTGGAGCACATAATTTCTAAACTGGGTAAGGAAGACAGACAGGACACCAGATTGGTGAGGGATATCTCAGAGGAATAGAAATGAAAGTAGTTGATTCCTGATCTGTTTGTACATAAGTGGGAAGAAATTCTTCGAGAGAATTTAGGAATAGGTGCATAGTAATTGCTTTCTTGTTTTTATTTTCCAACTCCAAGGAAAGGAAAAGGCTGAATGAGGGGGCATCTACAGTCATAGTACACTGTGAATATTTGTGTAATCATAACCATGTAAATACTGGTTATTTTAAAAAATGGTAATAAGACTGTGTCAGAAGATAAAAGTAAGGAAAAGGTGTATGTTAAGAGGAAAGGGGTGGGGAGTGCCGGATATCAGAGAACTCAGAGAACTAAACCTTTATCTTCCCTAAAAGGATGTGAGAAAAATCTACGCAGGAGGAAAAGTATGGCTTTGGGGTGTGTGTGTGTGTACGGTACATATATGTGTGTACATACATATACATGAAAGTGAATATTATAAGAAACGGGTTGGATTTGAACATGGTTGCCTCTGGGGTTGTAGGAATCAGGATGAGAATGTTCTATTTTAATAATAAGATTTATGGGGAGGTTTGACTTATAAATTATAAATATGTATTACTTTGATAAAAACAAAAATAAGAAGAAAAGAAATGCTACTTTTAAGTATTACTACTATTAAATAATCAGGGGAAGCTTGGTGAACAAGTTAGTACTTGAGTTAAGTCTTGAAGAATAAGGTAACAGTGGTTTGGTTGGAGAGGAGGAAAAGAGTATTGAGCCAGGGTAGAGAGTGTGAGGGAGAGAAACAGATTGCAAAACACAAGGCATTTTTGCTGGCTAGAGACAAGAGATGGTAAGATAATAACACCAGTTATGGTTTGTAGGTTGGATTCAAGTTATATAAACACTTGAAGCCATGTGGTGGGAAGAAATTAGTTCTTGAGCAGGCAAATGATGAATCTTTCTTAAGCACTAATTTGATTATTAGGAGCAGGTCAGGTTAAAGGAAAATAGCTCAACACTGTCCTAGTCTAAGTAGTGTGGTAATTGAGGAGCTAGAAGGGTAACAAGTACGGGAAGATGAGATGGAGAAATATCTAGAAGGAGCTGTCAGTGGAACTTGGAGACGTAAATGTGTGAGTTGAGAGTGGTGGGAAGAGGTGTGTGTATTAAGAAAAGTCTTACATTTTGAGCCCTTTTGGAAAGAGATATGGTCTTATTTGTAAATGTAATTTTTAAAAAGTAAGACAATGAGAGTGGTGTTCAATATTTTGTGGGAGGATTGATGAGACAGTGACACAGATGAACAGAAGGACATGCTTGAGATACTCAGCATCTGTTGGGAATGTGGAACTTGAGCTCGGCAGAGAGATGTAATATGTGTGTATATAAAAGTTGTCTGCTTTATATGATAGTTTAATTACAATTAAATATATAATTTTAATATAAATATGTATAAGTTAATTTAAACATATAAGCTACCTGTTTATACAGAGTTACAGAAGTGGATGAGGTCCTCAAGGAAGGCAGCCTACAGGAAAGGTCAGAGCGTGCAGAGTGCAAAGCATTGAAAATACTTGATTTAGGGGTAAGTGGAAAAGAAAAATACTTAGGGAGAAAAAGAGTAGACAAAAAAAAAAAGAAAACCAGGAAAGGACATTTTGAAGGAGGCAGTTTTAGACAACCCTGTCAAACTGCTTCAGAATAATATAGGAGAAAAAATGACTACAAAATAATTTTAAAAGTTTAAACCTATCCAGTTGGAAGTTATGGATGATTTGGGGAGTTCAGTAGAGTAAAGGAAGCAAAAACAGTATGTGACAGAAATAATGTCGATTGTGCTTTCCAAGATTTTCCAATTGGAAGAAAAGATTGGGAAATAGTTAACAGCTTGAAAAGACAATAAGTTAAATATAGGTTGGGTATTTTGAGATTCAGGGAAACTGTACATGTTTGTAGTTAGAGAAGAGTAATGCTGCTGAGCTGGATGAAGGTATGAAGAGATAAGAGGGTATTGTGGGAGCAAGAGAATTAGATTAAAGAAATGAAAGCCATGAAAAGGAAGCGTTAACACTCTTATCCGGCAAAGAAAACTAGAATAATGTCAAGCGAAATATTTACATTTTTTTATCTAAGCAGCAAGAATGACTAAATGGCCTAAATTTCTCAGAATAGAGAGTAGAATTTATTTCCTTTATAGGATAGAGCCAGAGTTGTGGTAGAGATTTTGAGAGTGAGTATATCAGCTATTGCTGCAAAACCAACCACCCCTTACATGTCATACTTAAACATTTATTTTTAAAAAGCATTTCTTATTCCTCACAATTCCTTGTTTCACAGATCTAGGTGGTTTTTCTGGTCTTTGCTGGACTCCCTCCTGTGACTGCAGTTAGCTGCTGATTGGATAGGCCTCTCTGCTGACCTCAGCTGTGTTCTGTCATGTTGGGATGGGCTGTCTACGAACTCATCTAAGATGGCCTTGGCAGGGCAGCTCGGTTGTTTTGTGCGTGGTACCTCATCCTCCACACCTGTTCTCACAGCTGGCAGGATTCTGAGAGAGAGCAAACAAAAGCACATGGTGCCTCTGAAGGCTTAGGCTCAGAACTAAGCACAGTGTCATATTCTATTGGCCTAAGCATATGTCAAGGTTAGCCCATATTCTTGGGGTGGGTAGATTAAGGGATGGAGTTTAAGTCATGTTCAGAGGGTATAGATATAGAGAAAACTGGGGACTAGGACCATTTTTGTAACCAGTGTACCGTTGTGGGAAAAGCTAGAAATAAGTGTGCTACATGTGCAGAGGACTTTGGTATAGATGTGCTGAAACTGCATGTTCTACATGTTCTGTAGGATGGAGATCTCAGACTGTTTATGTATTTGATTTTGATGTCTTCATTGTTAGTGTATTCTCTTTTCCCCTTTGGAAGGTTGGATAATACATTAGAGGAAATCATATTTAAACTGGTCCCTGGACTGCGAGAACGTAAGTTGCTCTTTGGCTTCTTGCAGATTTGTGTTTTATGAAACCAACATTTCTATTACATACTTTATGATTGATCCGTTATTTTTGTACTTCTTTTTTTCTTTTAAATTAGAAGAACTTCAGCGTGAATCTGAATTTTGGAAGAAAAATAAGCCTCAAGAAAATGGACAAGGTGACTTTTTCTTACATCTGTATCTGACAGCATCTTTCAAATTAGCTAGCTTTTTGTATCTTTGGTGAACTAATATCTCTCTTCAAGCTCAAATTTCTCCTATACAAAATTCATGTAGTCCTTTATTCATATTATGAACCTTTCTCTTATTACAAAACTGTTATATAAAAGCCTGAGACCACTCCAGTTCAAAGTGATAGGAATAGAGGAAATTGGACTTCGGGAAGAGAAAAAGGAGGTAAACAGAAATCCAACTACTGATTGCAGCAGTATTTGCTGGAGAGTTAAAGGAAACTGAAGTAAGAAAGAGCCATGGCCTAAAAGTGAACAGTGAGAGGTTTTGTCTTATTTTATTTTGTACGTTCATTTGAATAGGAGAGGGAACTGAGATGTGGCTGAGAGAATAGCAAGGGGGTCTTGGAAAGAAGTTTTCATAGGTGGAGCTCATCTATCCTGAAATTTGAAAAACATTTCTAGGTGCTTATTGGAATTTTTCCCATTATCACTGTTCAAAGTCCAAATTTCTCTTCTGGGTCCCCAGGAGACTCAGCAATCAGTGAATTTTTTATAGTTTTAGCAAAGTAGCTAAAACTGGGCAGAGAAAAGGCTTTTAGTAACTATGTAATTCACACAAAGAAAAAAAAGTATAACATACCTGAAGTTATAAGGAAATGGTATCATTTCCCATTAATTAATACAAGACTTATTTCAAGATGACCTAAGTGCCACTGAAATCTTTCAACAATGTGTGTGTGTTTTTATAGCCTCACTTGTGAGCTCAGTCTCCCACCTCTGGTTTTCCTATAAGATCAAAGGATTGTCAATTATACACAATTAAAATAGCGAGAAAATGCTCTTCCTCTTTTCATTTGTAGAATAAGGATCATAGTTTCATTAGTTTAATTTAACAGCAGGGCTGGCTTTGTGTATTAGGGCAAGTTTGAGCATAGTTTTCAATGACTGGGATAAGGTAGAAAGGGATTATTTTTTATCTATAACCACAAAATAAGCCTACATAAGATGAATTAACTAAAAAGAAACCAAGCCTGACAAAAAAATGGCTTAACTAAAGGCTTGTTTCACTCTAAGTGTAAATTACAATTTAGTGCTATAGTAAAAATATATATGATACAAAGTTGACTAAATGTTCATTTTTTGACTGCCTTCTCAAGAGGACAGGGTTCCAGGGGGTCAGCCTCAGAAACTATGTTGTAGGTTTAGTTTATGACTCTATGTATCCTACAGATTCACTTGTGAAGGACTACAGCCTACTTCGTGTTTTTCTTCCTTTTCCCATTATTTCTCCCTCTTGTTTTTTAAATATTTTATTTGTTTATTTTCAAAGAGGAGGGAAGGGAGGGAGAAAGAAAAGGAGAGAAACATCACTGTGGGAGAGATACATTGACCAGTCGACCGGTCGCCCCCAACCAGGTTCCTGGCCCGCAACCCGGCCATGTGCCCTGATTGGGAATTGAACCAGCAACCCTTTGGTTTGCAAGCGGCACTCAGTCCACTGAGCCAAACACCAGTCAGGGCCCTCTTTCCCCCTCTTTATTTTATAATATTTGGTCATTAGTTTCAGTGGAGAATTTGGGTCTGTTCTGGGAGGTGGGAGTATGGTTCATGAGAGGCAACTGCTATCTGTGTGGGTTCCATATAAATGTGTAGAAGAAACAATGCAGAATAGAACCCACTTGCTTTCTATGAGACAACTGTAATGCTTGTATCACAATCATTATAGAGGAGCTAACCTGTTGGGTTCTCCCCCGGCCAGACTCTCCTATACTGTAATGCTTGGCTAGCTAATTCTTTCAAGTTTCAGCTTAGAGATATTTTATCTGGAAATTTTCCCTGAATCTCTGCGTCACCCCAAAGTTTGAGTTTATTACCTTTCATATATGTGGCCAGGCCGTCTATTTTACATCTTTCATCAAAGGCCTTATCTGTTTTCTTTACTTTTCTGAATCTCCTCCTATCCCTGACCACTATGGGGATAAGGATGATGATAACACCCTTGTTTTAATATTGTTCCCTCAAGCCTAGCATAGTGCATATCTAATAGAATTAAAGGCACAATAAATGGATGAATCAACAAATATAGTTGTATTATATGTAGGCTGAAGTTATTTCATAGCTTAAATACATTTGGATATAATGTGAAGTACTCCTTTAAGATTTCTTCAATGGAGTTTTAACATGTTATATACTTTGTGTTTTTCTTCCTTTGTACATGTTAAAAGATAATTCTACTCATAGTCAACTAGCTGATTTTATGAATATCTATTAATTTTAAATTTTGAGAAGTTAAAGAGAATATTTCATAGCAGTGATTTTCAGCTTTTCTCATCTCATGGTACACAAACTAATTACTAAAATTCTGCACACCGAAGAATATATTTTTTGCTGATATGACAAAAAGGTATAGTTTTGATTCATTGTCAATTTTATTTGACAGTCTAAGGGAAAAGAGGTCAGTGCCCCTGATTAAAATAGTCAGATATTGTAAGTTTTGAAATTTCTTGTGGCACACCAATGTGCAGGAAATCGCTGTTTTATAGTTTTAAAAGAGTAGTTGGTTTTAAATTTGAATATATATATAACTTGGAAGTACTTTTATATCCTGTTTACTTCTAAGTGATCTAATCACTAGTTGCAATTATTTTTGTGACCAAATAAAGTAGTTCTGAATCTTTTTTTTTTAAAGATTTTATTTATTTATTTTTAGAGAGGGAAGGGAGGGGGAGAGAGGGGGAGAGGAGAGAGAGAGAGAAACATCAATGTGCATTTGCTGGGGGTTATGGCCTGCAACCCAGGAATGTACCCTGGCTGGGAATCGAACCTGGGACACTTTGGTTCCCAGCCCGCGCTCAATCCACTGAGCTACACCAGCCAGGGCTATAGTTCTGAACCTTTTATTTGGATGCCCCAGTCATCCTAGACATCTTAGGCTGTGTTCACAAGTAACTGATGATTCTTAAAAATATCATCATTGTTGAGTTAGTTGGAACATTTTAAAATTAAAGAATTTAACATTTATTTTTGTTTCAGTGATTAATATATTGTTTAACTTTAATATCAACTTTGAGTTATATCTTTAGTTTCATTTAAATTTTACAGATGATACTTCAAAAGTTGACAAACCTAAAGAAGATGAAGAAGGTGATGAAAATCAGGATGATAAAGACTATCACAGAAGTGACCCACAAATTGCTATATGTTTGGATTGTTTACGAAATAACGGACAATCAGGGGACAATGTAGTAAAGGTGAGTGGACTGGTACAGTTGTATTTTTAGTAATTATTTTATAGTAAACCTTTGATAATTTGTTGACGAATTTTCCTAATGTTTCAAAATGTTTGCTGTCAAAGTTTTTAATATAATTAAGTAGAATACCATTCTCTGGCCATCCCATACCTACAAATGGCCAAGCAATTGCCTCAGGCACCGGATTTTCAACCCGCACAACTGAACTGTCCTGGGCCAATGCCACCACCTAGTGGCTGATGCAAGAATCACACCTTTATTTCTCCTTTCCACCTCCTCTTTATGCCTTTGTTGGGAGTTCACATGAATTTTTTCCCTTTTTAAGTATGGTAACCAACTCTGACTCAGATCATTTCATGTTGGGAAGTATCTCCAACCTTTTTGTTCATCCTCTTCTAATATTCTCCATTTCTTTTTATTTGCAACTCAAAAACATGTCATGACTAACACATTTTATGAATAATTAATTGGTTCTGAACTACAATTGGATGTCATAAAATGCCTGTGAACTTTTAAAGTTCTGGAAGGCTCCCAGATTATTTCCTATAGAATCTCCATTTCTAACACTGTTTCTCTGTCTGCTATTTGATCCTTTTTGTAAAGGACCTCCATACTAAAGAATTTAAAACACCCTACTTGTTTTTAATTGCAAGAAACTTTTGTTTTCATTGTAAAAGTTTACTACTTTACCACTTAAGTAGATTTTTGTCACTTTGTCTTAGTAAATGTCAGCCATTGAGAATATTGCTGCTTTCTTTGTATTCCGTGTTTTATTCAAATAACTATATCCAATGTCTCTTCTTTTACTTCATCTGTATAATCTGTAGGCCAGTGGGTTGAATTTTCACTAACACATTTTTTTAAAGATTTTCTTTGTTTCTTTTTAGAGAGAAGGGAAGGGAGGGAGAAAGAGTGGGAGAGAAACATTAGCACAAAAGGTGCTGATTTGTTACCTCTTACATGCCCCCAACTGGGAATCTGGCCTGTAACCCAGGCATGTGCCCTGACTGGGAATCAAACCAGTAACCTTTTGGTTTGCAGGTTGACACTCAATCCACTGAGCCACATCAGCCAAGGCATGAATTTTCACTAATACACTTAATGACATTTTCCTTTTAGGAAGTTAAAATTTAAAAACAAATTTTCATCTTAGATTAAGAGTTCCCAGCATCTTGCAACAAAAATATGTGAGCATAGTGAGTCAGTGAATACTAATCAGCTTATGTGGATGTGGGACAGTGAAGATATTTAAAGAAGAAAAAAAATTTTACTCAGGGAACTTTGGTGAGGTCTTATATAAATAAACAGTATAATACAGTAAGAGAATGATTTGATTAATAGAGTCTGGTTGGACAAGGCATGTCATAAAATGCAGAAATCTTTAGAGATGTGTCCATTGTGCCTTTTAACCTTCCTAGGCTTCTCTGTTGTTTTTATGCTCTGGTGGATCACGTGTTCTTTTTTGTAAGTCTTTTTATCGGGGTTTTTAATAACCTTACATTTCTCTCATTGCCAGTCATTTCTGTAATTCTCATTTTGGGAGGTTCTTCTTAGTAGAGATTTGATCATCCTTTTATTCTTGAATACATGAGTTATTATCTTGTAGTGAAAATTAAGTCAATAGAAAGGCTGAATATCTTTATAAATAAATGTAAAGTATACTTCTTTGCAAGATTTCTCATAAGAAAGTAAGTGTCCCAGTTGGTAATTTCCCTAACACCTGAAACTGCACATATTTAAAGACAAATTCATTGTACTTTCACCTACCTTTATTCCAAACATGCAGTTTCAGTTACCATTACCGTCTTTCAACAAATCATACAAGTTCAAAACCTTGGAGTCATCTTTGACCTTTTACTCTTTCCCTTCGGCCTATTATAAGTCCTGAAGAATTCTCCAGTCTAGTGCTGCTCACCTTATATGTAGATTGCTCAAAGTAGTCTCTTAAGTATTTTTTGTACCTTAATTCTTTTATCACCCAAGGCTGAGTCCACAGCCTGAATGTGCTTAAGGCAGAGAGTAAAGGCCAGAGTCAAGGCCAAAATCAGGGCAGATAATAAATATTTTGGGCTCTGTGGGCCGTATAGTCTCTGCTGCAGCTACTCACCTTACTCATTGTAGCCCTAAAGCACCCATAGATGGTGGTGAATGAATGACATGGTTGTGTTCCAATAAAACTTTACTTAAAAAGATAGGTGACCAGCCAGATTTGCCTTGAGAGCTGTGGTCATAGTTTGCGATCTTCTGGCCTATAGAAACAAGTCTTAACACCTTAAGATATTATTCAAGGCCTTTAACTAACTAGATCCTATCTTGATAAGTTTATCTGCCATTATACCCATCAGTGAAACTTCTCAAGACAAACAATTATTGCTTTATATATGAGTACCAACATATATGTTGGCACTCATACCTGACAAAGGACTTGCATCCAGAATATATAAAGACTTATATTAAGAATATTAAAACCCTTTAAAATTTTGAACAGTCTTTTTTGGCATGTTCTTCCCTATTCTTACCTCCATCAAGACCCCAGCAGAGACCTCTATTCTTTGTGATGTTTGCTCTACCTTAGTGAATCTCATCTCTGAAATTCTATAGGATTTCCATTTGTCAATCAATTAGAGCTTAGTTTGTTATTTATTAAGTTAGCGTTTATTGTGTTCCTGAAGATACCAGGCACTGATGCTGGGCTTTTTTTTTTTGTTTTCTTTATCTTTTTTGGTATTGTCTTTAGAACATATTATAAACTCTTTAAAGGCAGGGAAGCAATGTCTATTTTCTTTTATAGCCTCCTCCACCACTTATTCCTTTGCAGTAAGATGTGATTCCCAATTGTGGTGGTGGAGTAGTCACATGCATAGTTTACATGGTATAGGTACTGCTTTTATAATTTAAAAGCCAATGCTAAGAACAAGAAGGCAGTGAAAATAGTAAAGACCTCCAAAAATTTGCTGCTCCATAAAAACAATTTAAAAACGGCCAAACAAACCCTTTAAAGTTAGCTTGTTCAGAATTCTAATAATTAACCAAAGACTTGCAAAAATCTGTGGAGCAATTAATCAAGAAAACTGTCTGATGTTGCGCCATTTTAACTTACCTTGGTCACATCCCCCACTCTCTCAGGCACAAAAGGAATAAAAGAGAGGTGGAGCTCTTTCAAAGCCCAATTGCCAAATACTTGTCATTATTTGACCTATCTGGTGGTTCCTGGAATACTCCACTTACAAGGGACTTTGAAAAGCTTGGACATAATCCTGGGAATCTAGAAGAGCAAGCACACACATGCTCAGGAAAGTCAAAAAAGACATGAATAGGTTGCTAAGCTCTCCCCTGTGGCTGACCCTGAGGCTCTGCACAAGCAGGAAGTGAAAACTAAGGCAGAGCTTTCAACAACCTGATTTACTGTTGGAGGCATTCCCCAAAACAAACGCAGAGTCCCTCAGCAAAGACTGGAGACTTAATTTTTACAAGTTTATAAGGAACTCTCTGTTCAGTCATTCACCAGTCACTAGATGGAAACTAGTGACCATATTATGTAAAGAATGCACACTTAACAGAATTAGTTTAGGTAAGTCATTAAAAAGAAACAATAAGAAGCAGCCACAACAATAAACCCTGAGAGACTAGAGGGAGTCTGATTTTCCAAGGTTGTCATATTATATTTAAGGTGTTCAGCTAAAAAAAAAAAAATGAGACAAATACAAGCAAGGAAGTATAGTGCATATACAGCAAAAGAAGCAGTCAATAAATGTGTCCCTGAAGAAGTCCAGGCATTGGACTTACTAGATAATAGATTTTAAATCATCCATTTTAAGTATGCAAAGTACTAAAAGAAAGCATGTCTAAACATCTAAATGAAAATATAAGAACAATTTCACCAAACAGAAAATATTAATAAAGACATATTGTTTTTTAAATATTTTGGAATTGAAAAGTATAATAACTGAAGTGAAAAATGCAGCATAGAGGCTCAACAGCAGATATGAGCCATAGGAAAAGAACCCAAAAACTTGAAGACAGATTGCATTTATTCAGTTTGAATAACAGGAAAAAAAAAAAGAATGAATGAAAATGAACAAATTCTCAGAGACCTGTAGAACACTATCAGACTTATCAACATACACATAATAGAAATTTCAAAAGAAGAAGAAAAAGCACGAGGGGCAGCCCCGACTGGAGTGTCTCAATTGGTTGGGCATCATCCAGCAAAGCAAAAGGTCCCAGGTTCAATTCCCAGTCAGGGCATATGCCTGGGTTGCACATTGGTCCCTGGTCAGGGCACATATGAGAGCAACTAATTGATGTTTCTGTCTCTCTCCCTCCCTTGCTCTCTCTATTAAAAAATAAATAATTTTTTTTAAATGAAGAGGGACAGAAAGTATAATTGAAGAAATAAGGGCCAGAAACGTCCTAAATTTGATAAAAACATTAAAAATCTAAGAAGCTCAACAAACTTCAGGTATGATAAAAAAGAAACTACTAGCAAGACACATCATAATCAAACTGTTGAAAGACAGAATCTTGAAAGCAACAATAAAGAAGTGACCCATCACTTACAAGTGATCTTTAGTAATATTACAACTGATTTCTCATCAGAAGATAAAGGCCAGAAAGCAGTAGGATGACATAAGCAGAATGATGAGAAAAAAAACAGAACTGTCAACCGAGTATTCTATGTCCATCGAAAAATTTGTATCTTTTAAAAAGGGAGGAAGTATTAAGATATACCCAAATAAAAACTAACAGAATGTGTACCTACCAGACCTTCTCTGTAAAAAAATAATGAAGGGTGCTCTTCAGGCCTAAATTAAAGGACCCTAGACCGTAACTCAAATTTACATTCATAAATAAAAAACACTGGTATAGGTAAACTACACAGTTAAATATAAAGACAATGTATTTTTTGTTTCTAACTTTTTTTTAGGGAGGGGACAGAGTAGAGGTATATAAGAGTAAATATTTATATACTATTGAAATTAAGATAGTAGTACTCCAAA